GGAAATTGGAAATGCCATTTTCTTGGCAAAGCAAGGAAGAATTTATATCTCTGGTCAATGTTTTGGAAATGAAAAGTTTAATAAATGTATGTCGGACAATGTGTGTCTTTGTGCTGTCAGTTGTGAGGCTTCCGTTTTGTCAACATTAAACTAATGTTTTCTTTCCATTAAACATTTATTAATTCGGATATATATCAAAGAATATGGCTACGTTTCGTCAAAGTTATTGAAAATCATGAGAAGGCAAGGCAAGTTTATTTATATGGCATCAGAGTACAGTCTACAGCACATCAGTCATGGACTCGAACAGCTGCACACACTGTAAAAGTAGTGAAAAGTGCATGTAAAATTCCAACTTCACTCTTTCTTTAGCAGTAAAGTACAAGTAGCAAACACTTTTTTTTCTCCCTTGGCTTTCTTGTTTGGCTCGGCATATCGTTGGGTGCAATGGTTCCTTTGGCACCCCCTCCACTGTTAGCTCGGTTGTGCTGCTTTTGCATCACTGATATTGTTCACTAACTACGATCGTTATGATTTATAGCGCTCATTTACCTACGCTTCAACATGTCACTTCTGCCAATGAAAGCAATGGGTCAATCAAGCAAGTCATTTTCCATTTGAAATGAAAAAGCAGACAAGGACCATGTCTGAGTGAACTCTGGTACAAGAAAAGATGCATTAAAATCCTAATATAAAAACAAAAAACAAATGCAGCTAATTACAGCTCTATATGACTGAATAACTGTCAGTTGTCCAGACTCAAATTTTGTCTCAGAACCTGGTAGTATTTGCATCCAGACAAAACAAAATAAGTAGTTAAAACATACACGTCAGACATTCAAATACAACTTGAATTCAGATAAAAATGTGTGTGCATGTCAGATAATTAGAAAAAGTTGGGCTGTAACAAGATAAGAAATTAATCCCAACTAATTGATTAATAGAATGGCTTCAACTTAAAAAAAAAAAAAAAAATGCATCTATTTGTCGATACCATACACAAAAACTTAAACAGTGAAGACATGTTGTAACTCTAGCAGCTGCTGTAATCACTGCATAATAATATTATATAAATAAAAACAATAAAAAAATTCATCAAACAAGAAAATGTGTTCAAGTGTATAAAATAGATCCCCTATGCACAGCTGATTACTGGATAGATTAATGGTCCAACTATCAAATGTTAATTACGCCTCACCAGGTGAATATTAAATTTTGATCAATAATGAACTGGTGCACCGATAGACAACTGCGACATTTCTAATCCCAGCGCACAATTTGAGACATTGTAGTTCAGTCTTTATACATTCAGGACATCAAACAGTGGTAGAAGGGAGCTGTGTGGCAGATGCTGGATGTGAGAAGCCAAAACTGGAGTCAGATGGGACGTAAAGTCTTTGATGCTCTGGGCTTGTCGAGGTCGAAGTCACGACTGGAGAAATCAAGAAGTCTTCCGGGCGCTACCAAAAATTATAGTCTGATGAGTCTGAAAATGTCCTTTCAAATCAGATGACATTTGTTGGTGATTCATAAAGGCAAATTGTTTATTGTTAATGGGGCTTGAAAGGGACTGCCCATTGAAAGGAAATGTATCTTTGTTTTTACTTTTACCCTTCTACTTAACTTTAATAGTTTGAAAGCTGACATTGATTGCTCTATAAGAAGATCATGGACTTATAAGTGCTGTGAAATTTGATTTTAATTTTCAAACAGAGCGGTAACTACAAGCTGATTGTTAGGAATTGTGTTGATGTTTCGCCCTTAATGATAAAAATACATGTTTAAACCAATGTCCTTCAGTTGCTTCACTTCAGCTTTCTCGGGGTCAGATTGAGTAAAAAAAAAAATCACTTTTGTGTTCAATAACCTATTCATTAATTCAATTTATCATTTAATCGATTATCAAAATATTGGTTCGAGCTCTACATATAGAACAAAGATATGGTCTATATTGTGTCTTAAACTAACAATGAAATGCACATTAGTTACAAAAGCTTATTCCTCTTTGCCTAAAAGGTCATTTACACACATCCAGTTCCTTAGACTTAATAAATTGTTTTTATCCAATTTGTTGACTTTATAATATGCTCACACAATCACACGGGCCCAAGCTCCAATTGTCTCGCTGAAAAAATGAGTGTCACAAGATACCGTTGCATATCTTTTTCTAATACCAAGGATAAATTGTTTAACATTTTCAAATCTAATTCAAATTACAGTACAAACTTGCCAGAAATGAATTATGTTATTTGACTTTTTCTTTCTGCATTTAACCATGTTTTTCACCAAACTCTGCTGCAATTTGGTCCTCTTCACGGTTCTTGCAAGGCCATGTTTATCACTATTATAGATTTAATTATAACTAGCCACATTTATCCACCCGTGAATTGTTAGTTGATCTTTGCAAATACTTGGGCAATGCGGACCATATTTTCTGGTTTTTCGGGGCACGTTTAAGGGGAAATGTAACTCAATCACCTTTTTTTTCTCCCTTGCTTCTCCCAGTCCACATGACGAGGTGCCAGATGCGTGTCAGTGCTCTGCAGACGTCCCCCTCCTGCATGCTTCAAAAAAAATCTATTTCTAGTTTGTTATCTAATTGTAAAATATACTTTTCTTTGTTCGTCAGGCATTTAAATTGCTTTTCCCATATAACCGGACAGCTGCGGCGCCCATGGAGAAGTTTTATTTTGGATTTATCAAAGCGTTTGTCACCCGTACACAGTGCAATAAAATGGTGTTTGGTAGCAACGGGAAAAGGCCAGCGCACATGGTGTTGTCGTGTGATGTGGCACTTCTGTCGGGATGGATGAAGGAAAGGCCCAGGCGCGAGTTTTAGCAGAGATACATGGGCCCAGGCCGGGGCAGACAGAGGGGAGATGACGGTCCGTGGGACGTTTTGCTGGAACTAGGGTTATACCAAGTATGACAGAATAGATTTTAAAGCTTAAGTACCAAACTTTCAAACCACAAAAAAATAAAGCTGTGGTTAACTTTGTGATTTCATAAATGCATTTTGTTTATCCCAGCAAAAAGACAATATTTGACAAGCTTCAAACACCAGACAGAGGCCAAAAATACATTCATGTGAAAACTAGTGATAGAACCAAAGTTCATTCCCTGGATTTAACTATTGTAATACAATCTTTTTAACTAGTTTAAAGCTCTAAAAACACCTTCTATCACTGGTTTTGGCCTCTGTCACATCTTAATATCAGCTTTTTTAGATAGAAAAAGGAACACGAGTGGACCACCTTCAATCAGCCAATCTGCTCTCAGCCCAAAGCATCGAATAATGCCTCACAGGGCTCTTTCTTACAAACAGGCAAAAAACATACCATCAATACCAAAACTGTCTCTTATATTCATAATAATTTGGATTTTGATCAGAAGTACTAGTATAAACCATAAAGTAGTGTGGTACCGTAAAAAATACTTATCAAGTTTTGTCTCTTCTCATTAATATTGACTCTATAGTACTTGTTACTTGTATGTAAGGCACTTCAAAAGTGCATAACAAATAAAATGTATTATCATTTTTACTACCATAGATATGCTTTTTTTTCGTGATATACCTTAGTAGAAGTAACTATGTGTACTGAAAAATAACTACATACAAGTAAATGTATTCAGGCACAGATGCGTATATAATGCTGTTCAGACGACAGTTGAAAATCTAAGGAATATAAAGTCATATTTGTTCATGCAATTTACACTTGAAAAGGCATGATATTAGTATAACTCATGAAAACATACCATTTTATAATTAACAATAATGAAAATGAAAATGCAATAAAATCAAAGATAATTTTCAAATATTCAGAATATAGCTTCTGTGGACCATATAAAAGAACATGATTAATGCAGTAGTATGTAACTGAATATATTTCAATGTATTCTCCGCATTGCTGATAAGTTTTGATTCTGGCCTTAACATTTAGTGAGTAATATGTTGGATAGTTATATATGCTTTGTTTGAATTGATAGTTTTTTGTGTTTATATATAATTATTTGTTGATAATTGATTGTGTCAGTCATGCTCGTGATGTTGGTAATGACTCGTGTGGGTCTAAATGCTCAATATATTGGAGAAAGAACAGTTTTCTGATGTGTCCAAATGCAGGAAGATGAAGTACAAAATATTGTAATAATCCTCTGTTACTGCCACCTAGTGACTAAAGACCAGTACTTTGTGTATATTTTGGCACAGACCCAGATGTAGAACGTTCTTTAGATTCAGGTGATGTGTTGTTTTAGTGACAGTTTGATTTATAGTTTTAATTTATTTGTCTTCTGAAGTCTCTGCACATATTATGTTTGGCCGTATGAGTTATTTACATCCTTCTCAGTCAGCAGAGGTGACGAGTAACTAGTATTTTACTCAAGTGCTGTACTTAAGTAGTGTTTCCTATGCATACTTTACTACTTATTTTCCTGACAATTTTCTAGTTTTACTGCATTTTACACAAATATTTATACTTTCTACTCCTTTCCTCTTTAAATGCCTATACTTTACAGATGCTTACACAACATAAAAACAGGGTTGAAGTGCATGGTTAGCCATTCTTCTAACTGAATTATTGTGGATAGTAAGTTCACATTTGTGCTTCATGTTTTGTTTGTTATCATTTCAGAACTGTATAAAGTGTTTCAAAAGCAAGGCTTAAACCATGACTCAAATATATTATCCCTCAATTAATGAACAAAAATGCAGATACTTTTACATAAGAGGATGATTTCAATACTTTTCTTTTTACCAGAGTTTCTACAGCTTTCCCAGCCTCTTAGTAGACTATAGTACTTTTGCCACTTCTGCTTCTCTGCTTTAATTACGCAAAGCACCGCGCACCCTTCATTTACCGCGGGTTGTCTGCGGCCGAGGAGACAAATGCTTGTGTCCAGTGACAGCACACATCCTGCGGCCATAAATTCGGCGGTGTGTCCATAGAATACCTGTACACCTGCACCAGCGCTCTCTCCCCTGCTCCCTGAATGAAACTCTACTCTGCCTGAGCCTGAGTCAGCGCTCTCCGGTGACGCACTCGCTCCTGTTCCTCCACTCGCTCCAAACGCGCCTCCGCGGACACTCCGACTGGAGTAACTCTATCCCGGGGAATAGGACAGAGAGCCATGGGTCCGTTGTGCCGCCTGGACATGAGCTGAGGGAGTTATAGGAGCGTGCGCGGATGGTCCAGGGGAACATGTCGGTACGTAGTGAGACGTGAGGAGGAACTGATTATGGTGAAGGGAATGGATCTGGCTCCACACACCACGTGTTGGAGTCGCATCAGCCCAATAATTGCTGCGCGCCCGAGCTATATAAACCACAAAAGTCTGCGCACGGGAAACCCCAGCCCCAAACACAAACCGCTACAAAAACTGGACTCGTTTTTGCGCCTCCTTCATCTTCACCGGCCACTTTTTTTCTTCTTTTTTTCCACCCAGTTTAACTTTTAACCCCTCAAACCTTTCTCCTCGTTTTTCCCGGGAAATATGTGCACTTTTCACGCGTTGAGGTTATAAATAGTTGTTTTAAGTATATTGTCCGAAGCCTTTGAACGCTTGTGTGTGTACATAGCCTGCGGGCTCTCTGAAAGCCTTTCAGTTTGGCACAAAGACTTCAATGACGCACCTGGAGCAGCGCTTTGACTTCTCATTCAAGGAAGACGCACAAAAGTTTTTTTCAGCGTCTGGCTCCACTGTTCCATTTCACGGCGGCTCTGTTTGTAATTGTATAGCCCATCGCGCGCACGGACCTGTATTTGATGTTATTTATATCTTCATTTGAATACGCGTAATGGCGCACGGACTCTGAACTTGCCATTTAAACATCCTCTTCTGCTTATGTTTCTTGTCCGGGGGGTTTCAAAAGCCCTTACAAAAGTTGGAGAGTGTGTGATCGTTGTTTTTTCCACTGGCACACGTATAGCCCACACGCTCTCAGCTCAGCCTCCACAGTGCGAGAAGAGGCTCAGGGCAGGGCAGATAGTTCCGCGCGGTGCCTTGTCGTTTGGTAACCCCCCGCTGTTGTGATGCGCATTCCCGTAGATACCAGCGCCAGCCGGAGGTTCAGCCCGCCGTCCAACAGCCTCCAGCCGCTCGCAGGGAAGATGAACGATGTGTCTCCTCCAGGGCCCGGGCAGCCAGACTCTGCAGCTGTGCCCAGGCTGCGGCCGCACGAGAATCGGAGCATGGCGGAGATCATCGCGGACCACCCGGCGGAACTCGTGCGCACGGACAGCCCCAACTTTCTGTGCTCCGTGCTGCCGTCCCACTGGCGCTGCAACAAGACTCTGCCTGTCGCCTTTAAGGTCAGTGCTGGTTCTGCTGCTGCTGCTGCTGGTGGTGGTGCGTGCGTGGAGCCTGGTCCCTTTGCTTTGCCACATATATGAGGGAAAGAAGAAATGCTGCTGCCGTATGCCTTACTTTAACGTTTTCTAAATATTGTGCTTGTATTTTTTTATTACTCTTAACGCTTCAAATTACGCTTTTATTTTACTCAATACAAATATATACATTTTACAATAACAGAATATTTGAATAGCTTTTCCCCACTTATTATTATCATTATTTAATATTACAAATGAGTGCACGTTAATGAGTTACAGCTGTCAAAACGAAAACCAAATGTTGAAACTCATCTCTTAACCCTTGTACAATTTATGCTTAATTATTATTAATTGAATGTATTTAATTGCAAATAGTATGTATACTTTTATTCACATTTCCTTACAGGGGTATAATTATATTTTACAACAATGATAGTTAATATTTATTGAAGTAACACCTTCTGGTCCATGTACACATACACTCACACACATGCATACACCCACACAAATACACACAAACACACACACACACACACACACACACACACACACACACACAACAGATAAAGCAGTTTAATAAAGTTCTCTCATATCAAAATGCGTAATATTTAACCCACAGCTATTTACTGCTCCCATGTGCTGTGCTGTGAGAGGCCTTTTGAAATGGCGTGACGCATATTATTTAAAATCTGTATCAAAGACAAAATCCAGAGTGCAAATTTGTAGCTGCAGTCCTGGCTGTGAATCAAATATGACACGTTTTGTAAAATATAAGTGGGAATCTAACTGGTATTATTACTAGAGCTCAGTAATTATGGCGGCTTTGTAGCGTCCTTTTATCTGCATCCAGGAATCTAAATGATAACAGGAGGCCTCAGAGCTTTTGTTTTACTCTGCGTGTTTGAGATTGTAATCAAATGCCTCGTCAAAAAATATACTTACAGTAAATCCATTTATCAACAACATTTAGTAGCAGGATTTCAATATGTAAAACAAACAGTTCAAAACGTTTGGAGCGAATTATGAATCATTCATTATGGTTCTATGCAAAATGATAAACCTCTTATGGGGAAACAGAAGCCAGAGTCTTATGTTCCAAATCTTCTTTATTTTTTATTTTTTTTCAAATATCATTCAGCTTTTCCGTCAACCTCATCAAGCAACAAATGTCAGTTTCGAATCACTTGTATCTGTCTTGAAGAACTTCACATAGTTGATGATTCCTGAATAGCAGATTAGAAAATCAAACATTTAAATGCAAACTATATTCAGCGAGAATTTTTTTTTAGGTCTTTTTGAAATGTGGCATTGTGGTGTTGCCATCAGAAACACACTATGTTACTGCATTATATATATATATTTTTTTATTAATTCCATCTAATTGATTATTCAAATATAATAATTTCGGGATATTACTTGACATAGATTTAAACATGCTAAAAAGAGGGACGTTTTTTTATTTTATCTTGTGTATAAACGAGTCTCATCGACCAATACCAAGAGAACAAATTGATCATCTCGTTTGTCTTTTGTGTCTAGGTGGTTGCTCTGGGTGACATTCCAGATGGCACGGTCGTCACGGTGATGGCGGGGAATGACGAGAACTACTCGGCGGAGCTGCGGAACGCGTCCGGTGTGATGAAGAACCAGGTAGCCCGCTTCAACGACCTGCGCTTCGTGGGACGCAGTGGCCGAGGTGAGGCTTTTCAACAATTCATGAATGGACGAGAAGGACGAAGGACCGCGATCAGAAGCAAAAATATGTTAATTCACTTGGAAGAACCCTTGAACCAAATGTTTTTCTTTTACCTAATTTTTTTATTGATGTGTACAGAGACATTAAGCTCATAGAGACGAATACAGTATGTTCAGCACTAGATTATAGCCAGATAGCTAGTTTCCAACTACATCTCCATGGTTACAGAGAAATACATTACAAAATACTTTATGAAAGTGCGTCCATCCATTCTCTATCAACCACACAACCTTTTACCATTCACTACATTTCATTCATTCTGCATTTTCAAATTCTTCTTCACACCCTAAACCCATATATGTGTTTCAAAGTGATTCAAACTTAATCAACAATTCAAAGCAAAAAAAACAAAAAAACATAGATTTTTTGAATGGGCTTCCAAACAAAACCGGAAGCCACAGAAAACCTCGCTTGTTGGCCCCTCGTGCCGCCGTGACACTCTGGGGCCCCACGCATTGGCAGTGCAGTAATGGCAGCAGGAGCTATTAGGTGCAGCGGTGTGGATTAGTGGTCTCATCCTACACACGTGGCGACCGCAGAATGATCTTCCCCCACTCAGGCCTCCAAAAGCCCTCAGCCTTCACACTGCCACAGCCTGAATCATCCAGAGTGTACTATAGTCAAGAGGTCCTCAAATGGAGGCCAGACACCAGCCGCAAGTTCAAGTACATGGACACAATACGGAAGTGCAGTATTAACTATTGCTGAAAGATATCTTGTTGTCATAGCAATGGAAGGTTATAGTAATCTTTTGTATAAAGTATGTATATGTGTTTGTATTGGGGCTGTAACTAAAAAAAGATTTTAATCTATTGTATAAGGAATTTTGGATATAAATATAAATATCATCAAAATGAAACTTATGCAATGCCATTCAAGAAAATTTTTATAAAGATTAAAAAAAAATCTATGTCATTCTGTTGTAATAGGCTTAGCCCTGTTGGGTCATGGGTTCAGATATGGTTCTAAAACCGATTAATTGATCACTAAATTATCTAACTATTTCAATAATTGATTAGTTGCAATTAATTGATTAAAGCTGCACTAACTGACTTTGGGATTTTGAAGCCGCGGACTCGCTGGCCTCGCTCTTTCTGCTCCCCTCCCCGCACCCACGAAGCTATCGCCCCCCACACACACCCACTGTTGGGACGGAGCTAGTGTCTCCCAATATGGATAAATACATGGACATGGATTTGCACGTGGATGGCGTGACCATAGAACGATAGAACCGGGAAGCGCGGAGGAACGGGACTTTCTTTTGGATGGCTGTCTCGCTGTGTAAGCAGTAACCGGTGACGAAGACACACGAAGCTTCAGGTTAGCTCCGCCACTTGTTGTGCTAACTCAGCTGTCTGTGCTAACGGACCTGTAGATTTCTCACGAAAGTGGGGGTCAGTGGTCCGCTGTGATTGGTCACAATCTGCGACCCGAAACACATTCTCTTCCTTGTTTCATCAAAACTCGATCTAAAATATAATGTCACGCCAGCCCAAATCTGCGCTACTTTTTCTTCAAAAGGACGAATATCCCAATGCACTGCATGAACATGGATAGCATTTTCGTAATGAATACAAAAATAAAGTCAGTTAGTGCAGCTTTAACTTGTCACAGCCCTTATTTGTGTAGCGGAAGTGCTTCACAAGAGCAATTAAAAGCAGATCAAGAATGCAGTTTCATAATAAAAAAGTACAGCAGACATTTTTTGGGCCTAACACAAACAGAGGCTTAAAACAAATAATACAACATTGAATCCGTTGTATGCACAGCATTAAACAAATATATTTTGAGTCTAGTTTTGAACAAGGTCTGGGTAGAGGCCTGTCTCAAACCTCAGGAAGATGGTAGCAGACTTTTGCAGCTTAACTCATTAGTTAAGTCATCACAGTCAATAATGTGCTATGAACATCACATTTATTTACATGTTATTGAACAAATGTCTTCACTGAACTCGGTTATATCATGATGTTGTGAATATCTGTCATAAATGTCAAGATATAAAATGTTGTCCACATTGATCAACCCTGGTATTGACAGTATTGCACTTCACCTGTCACAATAATTACACAAAATGTTTATCATCCAATAACTAATTGATGGAGCAATATATAATTTATTATTGGCAGCAGTTGTAGTTATAGATGGTGAGAAGTCTGTCATGGTGTTAAGATGCTATTCCCCATTTCACATGCACCACTGCAAAAGTAAAATGTTGTGAACAAATCAGACATGAACAATTAAACGTGCTGTCTTCATCTTTGTTTTTGCTTTTGTGAGTCACTCTTTGACGCTTCTACCTGAGAGCTGATTGGCTGAGCAAGAGTGGTTCTCTTTTTTCCTGTCTGGAAAAGCTGATCTAAAGAGGCAGATAAATACATTCTTGTGAAAACTAGTGATAGTGGTGCTTTGAAGCTTGGCATCAGATTGATTTTATAACATAGTCTCATTTTTTGTGGTTTGAAAATTAGGTACCTTAGCTTTAAATGCAGAAGATTAAACATTCCTCAAGCCTGCATCACATAAATTAATGAGAGGGGAAAACAATTATAGTGTGTCTGAAAGATCTTAAGTTGATTTTGCTTTGAAGAGGAATTGTAGGCATTTACAAATACAAACTGTAAAAAAAAAGTCAGTCTATATTTGACCATTTTGTTTAGTTTTATTGTAGTGTAGTTTATTGTGTGGTACATACACATTACATTCAGTGAAATTCTTATGTACCTTCCGCTTTTAAAGCCGGTGCACCTAACTTTTTTGGTTTAATTAATACATTTTGTCTGTCCCAATAGAATCTCTTCTGTCTTTATCTAATTAGAAAACATCTTTTACATACTCAGAGCTGATTGGCTGTGTGAGAGCTGGTCCTCTTCTTCACTGAAAAGTCTGATCTAAAGAGGTGACACAAGCCAACACGGTTTGTTTCTAGTGACCAAACTATTCTAAGAGCTGGGATGTATAGTGACGTTGATTTTTTTTATTACATAGTTAATTTATTGTTCTAAAATTTGGTACTCCAGCTTTACTACTTCCTTTATCGAGTCCAAACCTGTTTATCGTCCTATATTCAGAAGCCACAGCATTGAAACGACAGCCCTGGCTACCTGAAGGAACCCAGTTGAAATGAGATGTTTGCAGCAGCGTTCGTACTGTACTGTGCTGTGCTCCTTATCCCCAGGCGGCTGGGTGTGAGACACAAACTGCCTTCTATTGGGTCCAATGACATTCCCTGAATATTTGGCACCGCTCAACTGACTATTTGCATTATTGCCTGTCTGTTGCTAAATCATATTGTTTACGACGTGTGAATTGGCACCTCCTTTTAGGACGTCCTCACGCATACGAACCTGCCTTAGGGAAAATGTGTGAGGACTTAATTCAAAAAAAGGTCTGTTTGTTCTTTTGGGTTTGCCTTAAAAACGTAGTGCTGGTTTGTTGCTATTTTGACAGTAAGACGGGAGACAGGTTGTTGTTATTTTAAGATATTTAGAGAGATGTGGGAATGTGATGTGCACGCCAATGATTGGTCTACCTCACTGTCAATCATTGCTCAACAACAATCACACGTCTCCTTTTGCTGGGCGTGTGCACATCCAGCGTCACATGCTCTTTCTGTGTAGACGGCTAGTAGCTAACTCAGATTCTCAGGCTAAAATGGAAGAGCAACAACACAATAGCTTTGGGGGAAGCTGAGAAGAGTTGAAAGATTGTAGTTGATTGGAATACAACTAGAGAGAATCTTCCCAAATTATTTTACAGAATTAAGCTGTACGTGCTCAAAGCTTTGCATGTGTGCAAATTAAGAAACTACCACCCCTTAACATTAGAGCAAAGTTATTTATCAAGCACAAGCCCTATAGAACTAAACAACTAAAATTACACCCTTTTTATAAATAATACAATGTTTATTTTATATCATAACTCAGCCACAACCATTATTGAAGATTTTTTCCATTGATAATTTTCAAATTCTGTTCTGCCAAAACTTTCCATAAAGTACAATCATACATACAATCCAACCCTAAACTTAAACCTGTAGTCTTATCTCTGCTATATGGTGATAAAGTATGATTCCTTTAGCTCATGATTAAATATTTAGCTCAATTGAAGTCTCATTATTGATATAAAATGATGTAATAAAAGACGCATGATGCCCGCCGTATCGCTCTGCACTCGGCCCCGTTGCACAAGGTCAGCAGAAACGTGTTCACATCCAAGGAAACAGCTCAGGCCGAGGATCAACCGAATCATTTCCATTTCACAAATAGAGAAAACATTGCAGGTGGTGGTGGGGTGAGCAGCACGGGGAGAATAGAAGAATAACTCAATCAGGCTTGGATTTCTGCGTAAATGACAAGAGAACATAATTGTAACATGGTCAAAAGTAGTGAAATTTTTTTTTTTAAATGGTAAAATAGATTAAACAAACATAAATATAGTTATCAATGCAATATGGATATGGTTTTGTCTTATCCTTTTATTTAGCCCAAATAGTAAGTGCACAAACATTCAAGTGAAGGGCAGAAACCAAAATGAAAAAAATAAAATAAAATTGTAATGGTACCCGAACATAATTGAATACAAGCCTATTAATATAACCTTGTCTCACTATCAAAGCCAATCGTGTCTATTTGAACCATTAAAAACAGCGCGTATATGCATTGTGAGTTGAGTCAGTTTTCAGGTCATTATGGGACGATCGAATAGAAATTGAGACGTAATGTTAGGTTTCCGCGGAGACCGTTGCGTGCGTCCTTTTTTTAGCCGTGACACAGAATCTCGTCACAGGAAATGACATAGAGCCACTGGAGACGAGGACGATGAGGTGTCTGTAATGAACACCACAGGGTACAAGTCCACACGACTGGAGGATGTGCAATTGTTGAGTCCTGCCCATGTGAAAGAAAGGGCCGCAAGACCTCGAATAAAATTTATAGTCCTTGGATTAAGTCTTGTGAGATGTAACGCAATACGGATAAGGAGATTAAGTCAATGAGTCTAGATTATTGGCGTGATGCAACAGAACTGCGACTGTCTCTTCACACATACAAAAGCAATAAACTATGCACGTGTGTTGAGGGGGCAAGACTTGAGGTGGGTCCGAAACCGGATTTTCTGAGGGAGGGAGGATTGATTATCTTGTTATTGGACACGGTGGAGAGACTAGTCTTTTAGATGACCTGGAAATACCTCAGGATTCCCCCAGATGAGCTGGAGAAAGTGTGTGGATAGGGAAGTCTGAGCATCTCTGCTTCGTGAACTTTGAATGATTATTCCATCATGACTTTTGCAAGCTTAAATAAACACGTTTTGTTTGAAAAAGGGGTCTGGAACATCAAAGAAAAAACACAAACTGTAAGTTGTCAACATCTGCATAATTTAGAGAAGTAAATCATGCCATTGAAGGAAAACAAATGGGGGGAAAAAGCAATAATTACAAAGCAAGCTTGAAAGGAGGGTCACATTTCTTGCTGTTTGTGAATATGGATCCCATGAGATAACGTTTGGGAACAAATAAGAAGATTGCAATCTGGAGACATTCTGAGACATGCGCTGTCATGTGATCACTCATTTATAGAGAGGACTTCACAAAACCTTGATCTCGTCAAAAGAAATATCCATTGATTATTAGATTAGGAATGACAGAAGTTAAATCAAATAACTTACTTTGATGCATTAGAGAAGAAGAAGGTCTCTCTCACAACTAGCTTTAGAGCACTTGACAATATATACTAATAGGTCTGTGTTGAAAAGTTAGATTTTTAGTAACTTTGTCATCGTACTTGGGGTACCTATTTTTCAAATCACAAAAAATCTAGCTCCATCTGACTAGTGGAGATGGAGCTAATTGGATACTTCACACACATTATCCTATGACGCAGGTCGTGTTGCATCCTGATCTGACACGGGGAGATTACAGTTTATGAATGCGTCAAACCTTGCTTGCGTCAAATATTGCTTGCGTCAAATATTGAATGCGTCAAATATTGCTTTCAAATAAGCTTTTTCAGACAGTAAAGTGAGATGGGCTGACCACTCTCAGCCCAAAGCATCCAGTGCAATTGTTTTTATTTATTTAGATTTTGTGGTTATTTTTGTTCAAACATTATAGCATTCCAAAACGTCCTGTTGAGGAAAAACATCTATAATTTATGTATGAATACATTTTTAAAAGTTGGGGACTCTAGCTTTTAAGTTAAATAAAAGGAATGTTTGCTAAATGTAAGGTGGACTGGACAATGTATTCATCTGCGAAGGTTGTTCCAGTAGTTAACCTGCGTTCAGAATTAAAGGTGTAGAAAGTACAAATATGTTGGTTTAAAAGCAACCAATACAGAACTGAGTTACTTGCCACCTCTGAAAATCCCTGCAAGCAAATTTTTTTAATCAAGTCCAGTGAGTTCAAAGGCTTCAGTAGCTGGTTGAAGCATAGGTGTGGAGGATTGTCTTTGTAATTCCCATATAGCTGGAGTCAGGTATGCGGGACACCTGTTCTGTCTGCGCGCTGTAATCGGCCCAAGCCATCTTATCACAACTCTGAAAAAGGATGTTTACAATGAGCCAGAGGGAGAAGAGGAAGCCCTTTAGACACACTCAGCCCAGAAGGTCGGGCAATATTAACAGAAATATTTGTTCTTTTCCAGATTCTTTTTAAGGAATTACTTGGAAATGTCATGCTGTCCTTTGATGGCTTATTTGCGAATTAAATCATGCAGACATAGAAGACTGGTTGAAATGATCTAAGTTTCCAAGTTTTTCTGTGTAGACCTTGCATGTACCTTTTTTATAACTTTTTCAACACATAGGTACAGTGAGATAATACCTGTAAGATCTAGAGATGTTTCCCATAGGATAGTACTGATTGGCCGACTGATGATTGCTTAAGTCTCTTCCAAGGTATTTGGGTCATCTGTCTTTCAACATCTTCTCAGTGACCCCAACAGCCATTTTTTTGCTTTTTCTACTCATCCATTTATCAGAAATCACATGAAACAGGGATTGGCAAAAGATACACTGGTTGATTGTTGACATCTTTTGCTATATAAGTCTTTTCTCAATCTCACTGTGGCTACACATACAAAACCATATTCCAGTACTGAATCTACATACTACGTTTTTCAGAGATTGTTCATACAGTATGTTAATTGCAAACTGAATCCAATTGGGGGCAATGATTTCATACAAATTACCTGTTTTTTCAGAACTAGTTTAAGATTATAGGGTTGGAACCTGTTAGTTACGATCAGGATTTGCGTGGAGGACTTGGAAATGTGTACTTGTATATAAATAATTATGCAAACACTGGTTACCTGGTTTCACGTTTAACTTCCTGTTGCCTGCCCGTATCCATAGCTACGCGACGCTTCTGTGTGTGTGCTCTCTTGTTCATAGTAGCATTCCTCATGTGTGTGCATACGAACACGCACAGTCAGGCCCAAGGCAGCAACTGCATGGGATTATCTACAGAGGAAGTGACTATTAAAATGCCTCTCGCCCACTCACGCTGGGTTAGACGGGGAGAAAGGCTGGATAACAAGATGCTGGCTCCTTCAGTCAATCTTTCTATTTAGACTTTGCCAAAACAGGCTAAATAGACCCTTCAGACAGGCCAATGTTGTCTGCCGTGATCTACGCGAAGACGATTTTTATTATGGGATCACAACCGCACTTGTGACATGGGCATGGTTGAAGCATGAATGCGGTGATTGTGTGCGCGGGGTGGTATGTCATTTGATGGTGTTTGATGTCACCACAGGCAAATATGGCCTGCCAATAGTTTGACTAAGGAGAAGTGCTGTTTCATATTTTGGCTGGTATTGATAGTGATAGTGATACTAATAGTAAAATTAAGAGGAATTGGTCCACGGAAAAAGGATACTGTTGAAGGTTCTAGGACTGGGTTTCTCAATGATACACACATTCCTCTGTAGCTCATTATTTGATTAATATTTCATGTCATCTAGTTGCACTTTTTTGGCTAATCACAGACAACTGAAGTTTCATAAAGTGAGCATCAAGGAGAGCTGCTTTAAAAGGGGCTCCGGAGAGAGGGGTGGAACTGAGTGGAAGATGAATAGAGTAAAAACTAAGATAAAGCGTTCTGGTTTACTTGGAAAATATGTGTGATATAGATTTGTTTATAATTTACTATATTGTCTTAACCAATGAAGGAACTGTTAACCATTTAAGACATAGTAAACCCTTTATCAGGGGTATATAATATTAAATATTTAGACCTGTTGGTACTTGGAAGGATGAATATTTAGATGCAAATATTTAATTTGCATTAATCAAGACGACAAAGAGAATAATACCAGCATCCATACAGTTTCCTTGTATTTTACACAGCGCTATCAGTTAAACGTGCCAATAACGGTGTGAACGCAAACACATTTAATAGAGTTCTACACACTGTAAAATCATTATTATTATTCTTTTTGGAGGTTAATGGATTAATATGTGCTTTTTGCTTCGTCCAATTCCCTCTCCCAAACCAAATCAAGGGACATTTAGAACAGGAACACATGTGCGATTAATCGGGAGTTAACTATAACAATAATGTGATTTATTACAATTGAATAGTTTGACAGCACTCATTTTTAAACCAAACTTTTAAGACCACACAAAATGTGTAAATGATTCCATTTATCCACAAAAGCTGCTTGCTTCTCTAGTTTTCACATGCATGTATTTTTTGGCCTCTGTTATATATTTAGATCAGCTTTTTCAGACAGAAAAGTGAAAAAGAGGACCACCCCTTCTCAGCCAATCAGCTCTCAGTATAAAATAAAGACAGAATGTTGTGTGCTTTGTTTAGAAAATGTTACTTAAACAAGACTTTCTGTTGGGACAAACAAAATATATTAATGAAGCAACAGCTTTAACTGTTGTTTTAAGTAACTACAATTGTGTGTCCACAGGCAAAAGCTTCACTCTGACCATCACAGTATTCACCAACCCACCGCAAGTGGCCACCTATCATCGCGCCATAAAAGTGACCGTGGATGGCCCACGAGAGCCCAGAAGTAAGTGCACCAAAACATACATAAACATCCATAAATAGACTGAAATCCAACTTGAAACAGCCTTGACTGTCCACAAGTGTAAATATTTATGAATTTGTTTGTAGACTAAAAAGCAGAGCCGGGCAATATGAACTGAATTAAACTGCAATCTTATTCTTCACAATAAGCTTTTTGTGAAACTGACATTTATTGCTTTTTCTTATAATGTAGCCTTGTATTTGAAATTGGATACTTTCCTTTCTATTCATCAGTCTACCTCTATCAATTCTACTGTGCTCATGATTGAGGAAAGACTATCTATTACAAGGTGGCTCAGCAAGAAAGTCCTGAGTTTGATTCCCAGTCAGAACAGGGTTTTTCCAAGTGGAGCTTGCATGTTCTCCCCTTAAGTTTCCTCTGGGTGCTACGGTCTCCCCTACCACTAAAAACATGTACAAAGCCAAGCATAAACCAGTAGACTCCAGACAGGTTTCCCTAGTGGTATTGCAGGATGGGTCAAAACAGTATACCTAACCTTATTGTAATCTTGTGAACTGTCTCATAATGGTCCCTTGTCTTGCCCTGGTTTATGAATTTCTATATAATTTTCTGACACCTTTAACAATAGTTGGGCGTAGCCGCTATAATGTACGTTCATAGAAGTGAGTGGCTGCCTTGTAAAACAAGTTATATGACAACAAGATTTTTTACGGGAAAGTGACTTAGCAATCAACTGCCTCGTAATTTCGGTGACCCATTTAAACGCAGTTGTGACACTTAAAAAGCACAAAGAATTAAAAGCGATGGGGGCAATGTTCCTCTGAGGGTACACTGGGTAGGAGAGTGCTAGCATCAGCTCCTTTTAACAGCCCATATAAAAACAACTGGGGAGGGGAAAAAAAAGTTTACTATAGCTGCGGATGCCAACTGGTCTGGCATGCAGCTGTTTCCCTTAACCCTCCTCCCTATTCATAAAAAACATATTTTCATCGAGTGCCGTGTCGGCGTAACAATATCGCATCGCGAACAAAGCCACCCGCTCTGTCACATATGGCACAGAGCGAGCGGAGACACAGAGGAGCCAGGACGAGCGCGGATTAGCACCAGCCTTTTGACGCCATCGTGGAAAGTGTTGTCTGATGTGCCCAGGGCTGCGTTCAAGAGATCGTCAACACGCTCGAAAACAAAAAATTGATCATGCGAAAAGGATACTTGTTGATATTGCAGTCTTTGCAGCTTTTTTTCATCAATGTAATTCTGAAAACTTTCAACACACTTGGTTTCTCCCAAAATAGACTCAATTCAGAGCCCCATCATTTAAAGCTGGCCTATCTGACTTTCAAACCACAACAATGTAACTATAGTTGGATTAAAGCTTATACACTTCCAACCCTATTTACTCATTCAACACACACACACACACACAACAAAAATACAAAAAACAATGCCAGATCCAAGAACAATATTAGAAATGTAACACAATACAAATTATGTTAGTGCAAGAAACACAAATACACACACAAAATCCAAAGCATTCTCTGATCAAATACCACTATCCCACTACTCGCTCATGATACACAAACAGTGTATCGTATTCCCCTGTGGATCTAAAAAGTGTCACACACTTGTTGGTCTGGTTTTCTTTAGCTGGAGCAAGTCAGTTAAGTCTGATTCATTTCGGGCCAAATACTATAGCGCATACAGTAAGTATTATTCAACAATGATGTATTTAAAATTGTCTTTCCCTTTAGAAAAGATTAGCTGGAGGAGAATTATTAAGCCAATGATGGCGGGTCACTTTCCTTTCACTTTAAGCCAGTTTATAATTTTTTTTAGACAGATTAGATTTCCCCCTAGTGAACCAGACTTGATCAAGACTCACAACTATGGTTCAGAACTAGACTATTTAGCATTTCCATTTCACAGTCCGTCCTTTAATTAACCGCACATTCACACCAACGCCGTCCTATTCCCTCTGCAGCCATCTTGCTTGATCAAAGGTATTTCCTGTGCATCTGCTGTCCCTCGTCACTTTACTTTCAAACAAGTCCAGTTATTTAGTGGCCTGCAGATGGGAGACAGTTTGTTTAGAAAGTCCAATTTGGTCTCACCACCGTTAGATGTGCAGCCAGAAAACCAACTATAGTGTTGACCGTGGCTTTTACAAAAACAGCAAAATTAAAGGGCCTTGTTCTCAGCCTGTGCGTAGGGGGGGATAGTTTAAAGTCGTCTTTGCTTTTCCATGTGGGCAGTTGAATTTGTTCCACTTTTTACCGTAAAGGATGTAGTCAAAGAGGCGTGACCGGCCTGAGACAGCGCCTATGTCCACAAACGCGGTCTTTTTACTGTTCTTTTTGCCATCCAAGCAAAAATCTTGCATGGCTGTGAAATGTGTCAACACAGGATTTCTAAATATAGTTGTGGAGGTGTTGCAGTCCCTTGTTTCATGGAAGATAGTCAGGCACGCCCTTCACTTTGCGTTTGCGTGACGTGCCAGTTGAAACTCAATATAGCAGACTTATAACTGGTCTTAAGCCTACACAACGCAACGTATTGTTTATCCTCTGAGGAATATAAACTCATGTCCACACAGGGGATGAGACGGTATGCTGTCGTTTTAGAATGTCACAATATTCTTACAGTCAGGGCATACTTCTAACAGAGTTGGCCAAGCTCGTATGTTTCACAATTTGTGGGCAGAAAAGCCAAAAACTAACAGCTCTACAACCACATCTTTTAGGGATAGGATACGTTCCTTGCCACAAAAATAATCAAGACTCTTTCTGGCTTCGTTAATCTATTCTTTGTTGGAAACGTTTTAAACCCTGGAACCCTCTGCTTTTGCTGATATCTGGACTGTTGTAGAGAGGACACAGCTTTAGGTTTTGCAAGATTTTAGGTGTTGTTAACGAGTAAGAAAAATGCAGTCATAATGGGGTAGTTTTGGTAATGATCAGGGACCAACCCATTTTATTTTTTTTCCATCTTCACTCCACTTATCGAAATGTACCCCCCACCAAAGACATGTCACACCTTACTTTAAAGCTCAGAATCGGTAGAATTCATAATCCACACATCTCTTATGGACATCTGTAAACAGTACACAAAAGATTATGTCTACACCAGCTCAAAGCAGAGACTTCAGCTCTAAAATAAACTTGTCATATATACATTTTAAGCTTTTAACTACTATAACTAATAAGATATGATGATATCTTATTAGTTCAGGTGACATCAGCTCCACCAAATGTCAATCAAGATGTTCATGCTATATCTCATTTTTAATCTCTATACTCTATACCCATTATCCACTTTCTAAACCGGTTTGGTGTTTCTGCATAGCTCAATGCATAGATCTTGTGACTTTGAGAGAGCACGAAGTACTTGTAGTTACTGATCAGAAATAAATAAGGTTATTATATATAATAGCTTTCCATTGGTTTAATATTGTCTTCTTTGGTTGCTGTGGAACCACTTTTTTAATCAAGACACAAACTTTCCCAGAATATCTGTAGTCTTTCAACGCTGACGGCTTAAAAAAAAACTACAATATTTTCTTCATAGTGATGTTATTACCATGCTTTGGATTTATCTCTCTCCAAATATTTCCAGTTTACTTATAAAGTTCTATTGAATAAATACTCTGCACTGTTCCAAGCCATAAAGACACATCCATTTGGTGGCAGACAGTCTACGAAACTAACTTACAGCACATTAAATATCACTATTTGCTTTGAAGCTCTTAATAATGGCCACTACGGAGTTGTTTTTATGTGGGTGCCAAGTTGGCCACTTTGTCTGTCTTACTCCCTTCTTTGTAAATAAGATGCAGGCAGAGTTCGACAGTATTTTCCCGGTGCAAATTAGAGCAAATTGGCCCAAGCCTGGAATGAAATCACCTGACGAATTACCTTGTCTCAGGTGAGCTTCAAAACCACATCACAGCACTGGCAACGCGCACCAATGCACTACACGTTCCGTTTTATTTCCCTACCAAATTTGCCTATAGGAAAAAACGCTTGAAAGCCAACCACGCTTATTTTCCTCCACTCTGTTGGAGTCTCTGGACGGCGATTTAAGCAATAGTGTGTGTCGTCGTACGTAACCCCTGAACTTCTTTGCTCCGCTGTTAAGTGCTTAGAATTGCTCGAGTAATTTGGGCCCAAACCAGCGCCAAAACACGACTACCTTCTGTGGGGTCATTAAGCCGAGGTCGGGAGGTGGCCCAACACACATGTGGCCTCCCTCGCTCCTTCTGTCCTCCTCTCTCTCGCTGCCTCTATGGAGTTTGGTGAGTGGCTATGTCTGGAGAGCAGCGATTTTTATCTGTGAATGCTTCATTGGCACATGGACTGGGTGGGGTGGGGGGTGGGGGGCTTGGTCGGCCATTACAGCTCTATTTTGCGCTAAACTGGTGGGTAATTAGGAGGCCAGAGCTGCGGAGGGAGGAGGGAGGGGCCCCACACGGAGGAGGAGACCAGTGCAGAAAGAATAGCGGGCTGTGTGGAAGCTTCGTGTCAACACTGGTGCTGTCTGTGTTATGAAGATATGGAGTTAGTGAAAAGGCTGCATTACTTTAACGACTGATTAGGTTTTTGTTTAATCATGATTCAAGCTGCACATAGCTGTAGTTGAAAAAGTTTTAGAAATATGAGCGCTTCATGTGTTCACCAGGATCAGCAGTGAAAATAGACTAACATTTGAGAAAAGAGGAAATCTTCAGGGCATGTCCAAGCTGGAGTTGTTCTTAACTCAATCAACGCTACAACTTCTGGCAGCTCTCCAAATATTATTGGAGAGTTGGACAATTATTTAAAACCAAAGTATTGCTAAAAAAGAATGGCAATTAAGGTATTCATAAATGTTATAAGTTATCATCGTCCTTCTTTACTACTATCTCAAAGTGTAGATACTATAGTTGTGTATGTGTCTCCCCCTGACATGGTTTGCACTCTCACACTCTATGTCACATTCACACCCATTCAATTATAAAAAAATAATAATTTAAATGAATGCATAAA